TTGTGTCTCCTGATGTGATGTTCTGAGAAAGACACAACATCACTTCTATACTTCTTTTGCCAAAAATATTTCATCTGAGTCTAAGTGTAAGGAAATAATTAGGCAAACTCAAATTATGATCTAGTCTATAAAACAACTGACTAACCCACACTTTAAAAATGTGAATCTTGGGGCTGGCCTGGTGGCGCAGTGGTTAAGTTCGCACATTCCGCTTCTCGGCTGCCCGGGGTTTGCCAGTTTGGGTCCTGGGTGCGGACTTGGCACCATTTGGCAAAAAGCCGTGCTGTGGTAGGCGTCCCATGTATAAAGTAGAGGAAGATGGGCATGGATGTTAGCTCAGGGCCAGTCTTCCTCAGCAAAAAGAGGAGGATTGGCAGTAGTTAGCTCAGGACTAATCTTACTCCAAAAAAAAAAGTGAATCTCGGGGCCAGCCCAGTGGCATAGTGGTTAAGTTCATGTGCTCTGCTTTGGCTGCCTGGGGTTTGTAGGTTTGGATCCTGGGCATGGACCTAGCATCACTTGTCAAGCCACACTGTGGTGGCATCCCACATAAAATAGAGGAACATTGGCACAGATGTTAGCTCAGCAACAATCTTCCTCACACACACACACACACACACACACACACACACACGAAAGTGACTCTAATAAAAGATGGAAGACATCTTCTAGATGAAAGGAGACTAAAGAGCTGTGACACTGAAATATAGTGTATGACCCTTGTTTGAAACACAGATCCAAAATAAAGCTATCATTAAGGACAGTATTTACACTATTGGGGAAATTTTTGAATGAGAGCTCTATATTAAGTAATATTCTTATCTCAATGTTAAATTTCTTTAGTTTGGTACTGGCATTGGCATTGTAGTTATGTAGAATAATGATCAAGTATTGAAGGATGAAAGTGTCAGTGTCTGCAACTGAGTCAAATTTTCTGTAATTTTGGAGATTTTCAAAATAAAAAGTTGGAGAGAAATTGAGTTGCAAAGTGTCAACTGTTTGTGAAAAATGAAATAGTAGATTAAATATATTTTTAAGTTATAAAGGTAATAAGTAGACTAACCAGAGGTAAATATCAACATTGGGAAATGAAGAGATGATAGGGGAATAGTATGAATGAGCAGGTTCCTCATCCTCCATATCAGGAGCCAATAGCTATATTCCAGTTCATAAATCAAGATATACTAATAATAGCTAAGATTTATTTATGTATGTATTTATTTATTTGAAGTATAGTTGACATACAACATTGTATTAGTTTCAGGTGTTCAACATAGTGATTTGACATTATTTACATTGCAAAATGATCACCCTGAGAAGACTAGTTATCATACAAAGTTATTACAGTATTTTTGACTATATAATAGCTAGGATTTATTAAAGGCTTTCTCTGTGACTGGCACTGTTCTAAGTGTTTTATTTATATTAACTTATTTAATCCTTACCTTAACCCTATGATGTAGGTACTGTTACTATTCACATTTCACATAGGAGTAAATTAAGACACAGAGAAGTTGCCCAAGGTCCCACAGCTAGAAAGTGAGAGCAGAAATTCAACCCAGATAGTCAGGATTTGACCTTTAACGGATATATTAGGAGAAAAAAGATGAAAATTTACAAGCCAAGTATTCAACTTAAGGAGCTAGAAAAAGACTAGTATAATAAAGCAAAAAAAGTAGAAGGAAATTAATGAAACAGAAGACAGACGTTTAATACAGAGAATCAAGAAAGCCAAAATTCAGCTATTTTAAATATTAATAAAATTAACAATCCTTTGGCGTGGCTGACTTTAAAAAGAAAGTAAAAATAAAGAAAATTAGGAGTGAAAAGGAGATATAACTAAATGTGTGCAAACATTAAAAGAGAATATTATGACAAATTTTTGCACGTAAATGTAAAAACGTAGATGAAATGAACAAATTACAATTTGCCAAAACTGACTTAAGAAAACATAAATATCTAGGTAGCTCTTTAGTCATGAAATATTTGAAATCTGTAGATCTTCCCTAAAAGAGAATCCAGACTTAAGAGTTTTTACTGAAGGAAGAAGTAATTCCAGTCTTACGTAGCTGTTTCAAAATATAAAAAAAAAGGGAATATTCCCAACTTACCATGTGAAATTATCATAAGCATGTCAAAATCAGTTAAGAACAGTATGAGAAAGGATAATTATAGGTCAATTTAACATAGAAGCAAAAATTATAAACAGTGTTAAAAAATTGAATGCAGAAATTTATAAAAAGAATAATCTATTATGACCAAGTTGTATTTATGTTAGCAATGCAGATGATTTGACATATAAAAGTTTACTGTAATTTGCCGATTAAAGGAGAAAAATAGTATGCTCATCTCATTAAATGCAGAAAAGGTGTTTAATAAAATTTGACATTCATTCATGATTAAGAAATGAAAAACTTATTAGCATATTAGGAATAGAAGAGAACTTCCTTAACCTGAAAAAGATGATCTGTTCTGTTAAGACTAAGGACAGTTCTGTTCATAACTGCTGATTAGTTTACTGTTCTCAGTTAACTGATATATTTAACCAGGACCTCCTGGAAGCAGTGGCTTAACCCAGAGGAGTCTAATGATAAGAATTTCTGCAATCACTGTAATCAGGCAGAGAAAATGTTTTGAGCAAGCCTTGTGGTGCTCTTCAAATCTTATTAAAATGGATAGACTATTGTTAATGCATTTTCATTCATCCAATAAATACTAATTAAATATATACGCTGTAACAGGCTCTCTCTTTGGTGGGGATACCTTGATGAAAGACAGTCGTGCTGTCAAGAAGCTTGCTCCAGCGAAGCAGGCAATCATACAGTTAGAAGATGCTGACTATGCTAGAGAAAGTTACAGGATGCCCTGGGGAGCACAAGGAAGCTCATTAACTCAGACACTGGATGAATAGAGCTAATAAAGGAAGACTCGGAGCAGTATTTTAAAAGGACAAGTTGAAGAGCTAACGTTGCAGCTGCGTTAGGATCAGACATTAATGTGGCCCCTCTTTCCTTTGAAACTTATAATTCTCCTCATTTTATGACTTCAGCCAGTAAGAACAGCTAATATTTATTTTGAGACCTTACCTTGTGCCCCACACTGTTGTAAGCAGTTTACTTGTATTAACCCATTCAATCCTCACAACAATGCTGTGAGGCATGCACTATAATTAATCCCATTCTACAGATGAGGACACTGTAAAGTAACTTTCCTAAGGTTGCTCAGTCACTGACAACCTGATTCAGACCTTGGGGCTCTTATTCCAGACCCATGCTCCCAGAGTGCTTATCACTAAAGCACACTGCTTCATCACAGTTTGTAACCACTATATTCTGATTTCAATAGAATTTAGAGAAAGGTGGAACAAAGAGAACTGTAGAAGCTGAGATCTGTGGAAATTTTGCTATGAGAGCAGTATTTATATTATTGACTTAAGCTGCAAGCATTGATCTCAGACATTTTAGACATAGTTTCTGGATACCACACTGTACTCAGATCACATCTACCACTTTAATCAAGTTAAAAGGGTTCAGCTATAAAATATTTTATTTCTGAAAAGAAATAGAGCTTGAGTTATTTTGGGTTTTTTGGTTTGTAGTTTTGTTATTGTGTATGAATAGATGCCCCAAAACATTCTATCCAAATACTGTCTAAATTCCCACCTTCTTTTGATCACTTTAGGGTTTTTTTCTCTTCTTTACCCCAGCCTTTTTCTACTGTCTTGTTCAGGATTCTGTAGATTCCAAGTGCAAGAAACTCAGTTCAGAATAGTCAAGCTAAAGAGAGTTATTGGAAGAGTACTAGGACTGCTAACTGAATCAATGGAAGGGGCAATTTTAAACACAGGAAGGAAATTGGAGATTTGGGTCCCCAGTAGTTCTCTCTCTCTGCCTCTGTCTCTCATCTTTGCTTCTCTCCTTCCTGTGTTGACTTCATTCCTACCCCTGATGGCCTCATTTGGTAGTGAGGCAGCTCCAAGTTTACCTTATCCCAGTTTAATGAGCTTAGAGAAGAAAAGACTTCTTTCTCCTCTCTTGCAATATGTCTGAACCCCAGGAAAGGATTCTGGCCCAGCTTGGATCGTGTGCGTGTCCTTTGGACCAATCAGTCTGGCCAGGGAAGTGAGGTGTTGTGATTGGTTAGGCCAAGATTAAATGATCACAGTTGGAATTTGACAGGCTCATCAAAGGGCCAGGGAGCACATCAGTTTTCCAAAAGGAGGAAGGGTGCTGTTAGAAGAAGAGGGGAAGACAATGCTGAACAGATGATCACAAGTTTCTGCTGAGGCACTTATCTATATCCCACATTTGCAGACTTTTCTCTACTTTGAGATTGTGAACTCTTTGAAGGCAAAGATTGTAGGTTTGAGAGTCAGGCAGCCTTGAATTGGATCCCATGAATCTTTGTAGCGCTCCGCACAGAACTAGATGCTCAATAAACAGTTGTTCATTTTCAATTCCTGTTTGGAATACCTTTCATTATTTTGGCTTATTCTAGTCATGGTTTTATGTAGACATTATCTTTTCCACTTTTAGTTTTTAACTAAATTATTTGATAATTGCTTCTATGTTTAGTTCAAGCTTTTATTAGATAAAAGTTATACGTAAATTGATTAAACTATCAAAAATATGACTCAACAAAATTCCTCTTCAGGTGTTATAACAAGCAAATTGTTTCCGCATATTTTTTGATGGATTACTTTTTTATTGGAAGTGAAGTACCAAATCTAAGAATTGGCTTGTGAAAGATTCTGTGTTCCTTAGAAATGAATAAATACAAAATTAGATAATTTTAAGATTTATTTGTCCTCACTGGCTACATGGCTTAAAAACTGTATTTAAGGGTTTTTTAATCATCTAGATTTTTTTAAAACTGTTAATCTTTTTACTTTAGTTTAACTTGCTTTAAGATTTTTGTCTTTAATGCAAATGCCACATTATTACATAAGACAAAAATATGTAAATCAATGGCATACTGACTTATTTTCGTTTTCTCCTTAGGAACTGAGAGAAAGCTACAACACACAGCAGTTAGCCCTTGAACAACTTTATAAGATCAAACGTGACAAGTTGAAGGAAATTGAAAGAAAGAGATCAGAGCTAATACAGAAAAAGAAACTAGAAGATGAGGCTGTAAGGTAATATAACTAAGTTTGTTACACCATATTGCTATTAGAATTCTAACTTTGTTGCCCATAGCTTTACTATGACTATGGAAATTTAAGGGAAATATCTTAGGATGCTAATTAGATTCTAAATTTTAGAAAATCTATTCTATTAGGGACTGAGCTTACATTAACCACTTTTATGTTCCATTAGTGAAAAATATGGACTTTGGAGTCAGACTTGGATTAGAATTCTTGGTCTACCACTTACTGTCTGGGTGACCTTGGTTAAGACACTTTGCCTTTCTGAACCTCAGTTTCTCCATCTGAATAATAGGAATATTAATGCATACCTCATAGGTAACTGAGAATTAAGTAAAATACTGTAGCTAAAGAGCCAGCTATAATGTCTTGGATGTAGTAAGCACTCTTTATTTCCATCTCTCCATTGTAAATCTTTTACTGTTTCCTGAAAGATCATAAAGACCAAATACTTAATTTTATGGTGTGGTAAGACTGAGTGTAGAATGCCATGTTGATGCAGTTCTCTTCGTACCTCTGAGATATATCAATTGCTTCCATTTATAGCAAGGAGAAGACAGTTGTGGTGTCTGAAGTATAGAACCGTTGATTTAGAGACTGCATAATTTTTTTCTGTCAGTAAGATCCTATTTCCAGTTTGTTTCTCTCAAGTTCTCTAGTGTCAGAAATTAGTATAATTAGTTAACAAGTATCGACAAGCCAACACTCCTTTGCCTTGGAGAAGTATAGATGAGCAATGTCCATGAAAGAGCTAATAGTTACTGGGGAGGCAAGAAAGACACATTACCCCATACAGCAGGCCTCTTTTCTTAATGCCTTCACAGTGGCCACTTTCAATTTATTTTTATTGAGTGGCCACTGTTGGCTGTGATGCAGGTAGACTCTGGGTTACTCCTTGCTCCTAGATTCCTCACAATTCTAGTAGGAGATTCAGACAGCTAAACAAGTAGCTATAATACTCTTTACTCCAAGACCCCTACTTTTGTGGCCCCTAACAAGAAATACCAGAATACTATAGCAGTAGAGACAGTGAAGTTCAAATTAAGAAGGCTTTTATTTGCCACCTAACTTGTGCCACTTAACATTGCTCAAGGGATCTGTGTGGTGGCTACATAGTTAGTCCCTGTGTCAGAAGTTTCTATTGACACATGCAAGTATTTTGATATTTCCTCATCACTGCTCACAAGTCTTTTCAGGCCAACAGACCATATTAGTAATATACATTTTCATTTCATTCATCATCCTCACACGTTATCCTACTGTAGTAGAGGGAAGAGATCAGAACAGAAACACATGTAGGATCAGTCCAGAGCTGGATCCTAGTGTTGCATCTTGATTTCTTGGCCATTTGCCCAGGTATGTTCTCTTCTTGTCCCAGGCTATTGGTAATAATCAGGTTTTCACGTTGTAGATGTGGCCTCTTTGCCCTCTGTCCAGCTTCTGAGGCATCTACTGGCTCTGGACCAGTTTCTTGTCCGTTAACTCATACTTAAGTAACTTTACCAAAATTTAATTTTATATTCATCCAGAAGCATTTCCTATTTCCACAACAATGACTGAATACTGCAAACAGGGGTTAGCTAGGATAGTGGGAGTAAGAGCCAGAAGGCAGTCCTTGTGAAGAATCTGGAGAGAAGGGAAGGAAATTTAGATAGAGTTTTTAGATTTGTTTTCTGAATAGTTGCGTTTCAGTTTTTTCCTCCTTTTTTCTTGAGTTTGGGAGATTGACTGGCAGGGAGGAATTTGAAAGTGTGAGAAATTGTCTGTCATACTCCCCAGGTCATCTGTTTGTCCAAGGTTCCTCTCGATTAATTGGATTAATTGGTTTTCCCCTTCATCCCTGATCCCCACTGTTTCTCCACACCTGCTACTAATATCTCTGTGCTATGTAATGAATATATAATTATATAAGATTATATATAAATATATGAGAAATATATATATAATATTTCCTCAGTTTGTCAGAAACAAAATCTTCTATTATATTTTTATTTTGTGTAAAAATTAGGACATTATGCAAACTTTTTTCTTTCATGTAAAGGAAAGCAAAGCAAGGAAAAGAAAACTTATGGAGAGAAAGTCTTAGAAAGGAGGAAGAAGAAAAACAAAAGCGACTCCAGGAAGAAAAAACACAAGAAAAAGTTCAAGAAGAGGAGCGGAAGGCTGAGGAGAAACAATGTAAGGATAAGGATAAAAAGAATAGATTTGATTTTTCTGAGACAGAGCGACAAAAGAGACAAGAGAAAAATAAAGATTCTGGTGAGCTGCAAAAAAAAGAAAATTGAAACAGATGCTGATCTTAGAGTCAGAAAAAACCTCTTTCTAAATTAAACTTGCTTGAGAGGTGTGTGGGCTTATTGAAACAGACTGAGGGTAATCTAAAATCTAGAAATCTAAAGACAACATGGAGAAATGAAGGTGGTCATCATTAACTATGAACAGACCTTAACATGGTTTTCATAATTGAAGTGAATAGTTTAAAATATTTTATTCAACCAGTGTGTAATAAACTGTTTATTTTCATGAAACAACAGTAAAATTTTAAGTCTTTGCAAATTGAAATCTTCTCAGAAGATGTACTTTGTTTTTTGATACACCTCAGAGTCTATTCCTAAAATACTTTAAATATTATTATGTCTCTTAGATGCATAAACCTTTGAATCTTTATTAATGATACAATGTGTTGAAAATTTTATAAGCTGAAGCATTTATTCTACAAATGAACAAAGTAAAATATTTTTAATTTTGTCAAGGCTAGTGTATTTGTGAATTCTTCTACTGTTTGTCCTTTAGAACCATACTCATAAATCTATAGATCTTTCTTCAGTCAGCTCTGTTCCCTTGCTAATCTTCACATTTGTGAGCTCCCTTTTTGTGCTTTTCTTCCCTGTTGTGTTCTGACCACCACAGATCAAACCAAGCCTCTGGCTGTTTAGTCTCCTTCCACTTTGCACAGCTCAGCCTGCCACCACTCCCACCCCTTCCCTTAGATCCGTGTGCACAGCACACCCTGCAAGTCATCTCTTTGTTTTATTGCCTCCTACTTTGCTTAAGATGAACATCCTTGTTTGCTTTTATGATTTTTAAGATGTTTAGATCCTGGGGCCGGCCCCATGGCCGAGTGGTTCAGTTCGCATGCTCCGCTTTGGTGACCCAGGGTTTCGCCGGCTTGGATCCTGGGCGTGGACCTAGCACCGCTCATCAAGCCATACTGAGGTGGCATCCCACATAACACAACCAGAAGGACCTACAACTAGAATATACAACTATGTACTGGGGGGCTTTGGGGTGTAAGAAAAAAAGATTGGCAACAGATGTTAGCTCAGGTGCCAATCTTAAAAAACAAAAAAAGATATTTAGTTCTTAACAAGCTTGTATCAAATGGATTTTCATTATAATGTTTGATGCTCAATTTTCTCTTTTTGATTTTAAGAACTCTTTATTGAGTCATAGCAAAGATGTATGTACATGAAAGTAGCAAATAATGACGATTATCTTCTCTTTAGGTGAGCCAGCTAGTGCTTTGGTGAATTATAGAGCATTATACCGCTTTGAAGCGAGGAACCATGATGAGATGAGTTTTAATTCTGGAGATATAATACAGGTAGGAAACAAAGTCTTTTTTTCTCACTAATAAGCTGAATGCAATGTAATATATTACTTTCTATAATAATAGTAATATTGACTATAATTTTATATAGTGATTTACCATTTTAAAAATCTATCTTAAACATTGCCTCATTTGGCCCGTGTGACGCATGCAGAGCTGCATAGGACGGTTATTATTGCTGCTGCATTCTAGGTCAGGAAGCTTAGACTCACACATATTGTAACTGCCAGCAGCACAGTGCCAGAGTGGGGTGTAACTGCATGTCTTTTGGTTTCCAAATCCAGTATTCTTTCCACTATGCCATACTGCTTCATGTCCTAATAGGTGATTCTGATTTTGTTATTTTAATAAATTACCAATGAAATTGGAGGGAACTGGCTATTTTCTGGCAACTGTTAAAAGAGTTAAAGGAGTTAGATTCTGCAGCCCTCACTAGATGCAAGCATTGTTCCTTGGAACAGAAGATCTTTATTGTATAATCACAAAACATGTAAAATGGACAAATAAGAGAAGATAAAAGGAATAGCATTTGATAACACTACTGTCATACAATGGAAAGAACACAAGCTTTAGAAGCACACAAACTTGGATTTTAGTCTCTGCTTCAGTTTTCATCTTAGAAAATTAAGGTCATATTACCTGGAGTATGTAGCCAGTGTCTGTTTTCTTTTTTCCCTGTACTTTCACCAATTTGGTGTATTTTATCAGTTAGGTAGCAAACATTTAGTGATACTTGGGATAGAGTTTACCAGAATCATCTGTTTAAAAGCCCAAGATAATCCCCAGCTACACATCTCCTCTGTTGCCATTGCCACCACTGACAGTGCATAGCTGCTCCTGAGCTGAGGGAGAGGTTGGCTTTCCAGGCAACGTGAGTCCAGTCTGCTGTCCCCACCATTCCTCCTCTTTTTGTTGGTGATGATGAGGTAATATCCAAGAAGAAGAGAGGCAGCCCATCTCTGGGCATGTTTGGCCAAGAGCCTACTTTTATTTTTGGCTATATCTTTTATTTATTCTTTTAAAAAATATTTGTTGAGGGCTGACTGTGTTAAGCTAGGGATGTTGTGAACAAGACACAGTCTCTGCCCGGAACAAGCTTATAGTCTTATGAGAAAGACAGACAATTAAAGAGGTAGAGAAAGGAAGGGTGTGGACTGCTACTAGCTTTAGAACAGAGCTCTCCTATGGTCAAAGAGTCAGTGTGGTGGCAGTGACAACAGGAACATAAAGTTAGCTTGAGTCTCTTGAGTGCTGTGTTCTCTGCTGAATCATTGATATAAAGAGTCATGAGTTACTACCAGAGACCTCACTGGACAACTTGGTTGATGATGGTGTCATTTACTAAGAGAGTAAGATTAAAAGGAGGAGATTTAAGTGGGAATTACAATGAGTTCAGTTTTGGATGAGTTTCAGACTTCCAGGCAGCAATTGGATATCCAGAGATATTTAGAGAAATCTCAGGCAGAGATCTAGGGTGAGGACGCCAATTTGGATGTCATTAGTCTGTTATGATGGTACTTGAAGACATGAGTGTAGTTGGAGCTCATCCAGAGGAGTAGTAAAGTAAGAGAGAAAATGGTTGAGGATGTAATTCCTGAGAAACATGGACACTGACAAGATTATTAGAGGAAAGGGATCTTTAAAAGGAATGTCTAGATGTAGGAAAAAACCAGGAAAGTTTAGTGTCAGGGAACGTTGAGAAGAGTGGTCTGCATGTGAAATAAAACAAGGACTAAAAAAAAATATGTTAGATTAGTAATAGCACAGTTGTTAACCTTGAGGAGAACAGTATTAGTTGGGTGGAGTGGTGGGGGAAGAAGCCAGATTTCAGTGAGTTGAGGAACAAATTGAAGGGAGGAGGAGGAGACGGTGAATATATAAAACTCTTTGATGGAGCTTAGCTTTTTAAAGGGGGAAAGGAGAGAAGATGATAAATAATGAGGAATGTGGATTGAGGGTAGTGAGTTTTGTTTTTGCTTGAGCAAGCTTAAATAATGATAGAAAAGATCACAGAGAGGGAAAGGGTTAATGATTCTGGAAAGAGTAAATCACTAATAGAGGGAGATTGTTTTTTCTAATTAAAGTATAATTTACATTTAGTAAAGTATATAACTATAAATGTACAGCTCAAATAATTTGTACACACACACATATTTATATTTGTGAAACTACATTCAGGTCAACATACAGTACATGGAGCACTTAGGAAGGTACCACATACCTCCCCGTCAGACCTCCCCATTCTGACCCATGGATGGAGATGAGGAAGATTCTTGATAAGGCTGGAGGGCTTGGGATCTAGAGCACAGGAAGAGAGAGTAGTGGAAGGACTAGATACCTTTTCCTTTGTGATTAGAGAGCTGTAGGAAAGGATGGATGGGATTATAAACAAATTTTGCTGAGGTAGAAGGTGAGGTTAGATCCAAGGGCTTCTGTATTCTTGCTAAGATAGGAGGCAAGGTCTAATCAACTTAATGTATGAGAGTGACAGAGGAGGTTTGATTGAAAGTGAAAAAGATTAGAAATTCCACTGAGCCCTGGAAACGTTTTCCATGACAACCTGTTTTTCTAGCCTTCTTAGCCCTTAATGCCATTTGAAGTAATAGTTTCCCTAGGTCTGTGAGAATCTATGTAAAATTTTTAGTTTAACTCTCTATGTAAATTGACAACTAAACATTAATTAGAAGTATAAATGACAGATATGATATTGATTAAAATTGGTCCCTTACAAAGCAAACTTGGCTTAACTCTAAAGACTAAATGAATGGGCTTTTTCTTGTTGATAAGGTTGAAAATATTAGGAAAAACTATTAAAGTAATTATGCTTTTAAAAGTTTGTAGGAAAAGCGGGAAGTTAGTGTTTGAATGCCAGTGCTCATACCTTTCAGTGACCTTGACTCGAGACCAAACTTTTGAATCAGGTATATTGCTGGGCATTCTGCTTTAGGTTGCATAATTCCTCAGGGTTTATTGTGTTCTTGTCTTCATTTTTATTGCTCTGGCTCAGGTAATTTAAATTAGTCTTAAACTAGATCTACAGGATAAGATTGCATCAGTGGTTCTTTCTGTTCTATTTCGGAACACCATTTTATGGTAGTTACATAGCTATGATACTATCTAGGTGCATAGTTTAACCACGGCAGCTCTGGTTGAGATATTTTCTAATTATCTCATTCATGATATAATAGATAACCAGACTTATAACATTAAAATTAGAATAATTTACCATAAACACAAATGAAGTTGCCATGATAATAAATCCATTTGTTATTAATTAAGATTTGAGTGTATTGTTTATCTAATTTAGACTAGTCCATTTAAGTTAACGTTTGTTGAATTTCTAACCATGTGCCTGCTGGGATATATAAAAATGAATAAGGAAACCAAAATCTAGAAAGAAAACAGAAATATGTATAACTATATGAAATATAACATAAGTTTAGATTAACAATTTAGAGAAACAAAGTACTATGGGAACTTAGAGGGTTAAGCAATAACACAACCAAATAGAATTGGGAACATTTTCCCCAGTGATAGGATGGAGGAAGGCCTCAAAGGATTATGCTTTATGTTTGTTTAGTGCTTTACAGTGTACTAAGCACTTTTATAAATATTCTCAATTTTATCCTCAAAATAACCTGGTGGAAGTTAGGACAGGTATTTCCCCCCAAATTTATAGATGAGCAAACTGAGACTTGCGATAATATTTATTATCTTACAGAGGATAACCAACCATGGCTAAAACTGAAACATAGCTCTTTTAACTTCTAAATTTGTGTTCTTTCCCCTAAACCACATAACATTCTGGGCAGGAAGAATAGCTTGAACAAAAACACTGAGACGTGAGTATGCTTAAAGGATGTCACATAACTGTTTGCCTAGAATATGGGACAAATGTTAGGAGATGGAGCTAGGAAGATAAAGTTGGAACTTGGCAAAGAAACCATAATTTCAGAGGCCTTGAATTCTGCACTAAGGAGTTTGAACTCTGAAGAGCTTTAAATTAGAGAGACAGGATCTCCTAGGATAAAAATGGTAATGGATCTGGATTGACTTACCACAAAGTAAGAGATATCAAGATTGGAAAGGGAGAAGTAGGATTTTATTTGCAGGAGACATGATTGTCTATGTAGAAAATCCCATAGAATCTATGAAAAAGCTACTAGAACTGATAAATGAGTTTAGCAAGGTTGCAGGATACAAGATCAATATACAAAAATCAGTTGTATTTCTGTATACAAGCAATGAATATTCAGAAGTTGAAATAAAAAAATGCTTAGAGATAAAACTGACAGAAGATGTGCAAGACCTGCTTATAGAAAATTACGAAGTATTGTTGAGAAAAATTGAAAGCCTAAATAAATGGAAAGATATACTATGTTCATGGATTGAAAGACTCAATATTGGTAAGAAGATCTCCTCAAATTGTTTTATAGATTCAGGGCAATTGCAGTCAAAATCCCAGTAAGCTTTTTTGTAGAAATTGACAGGCTGATTTAAAACCAAAACAACTTTGGAAAAAAGAAGAACAAAGTTGGAGTTTACGCTACCTGAATTTAAGGCTTATAAAAGTTACAATAATCAAGATGGTGTTGTATTAGTATCCAGATAGGAAAATAGATCAATGGAACAGATTAATAAGTACACACCCCCACACACACACCCACACACATATATTGATTTTTTGACAAAGGTACAAAGGTAACTCAGTGGAGAAAGGATACTCTTTTCAGTAAATGATGTTAGAACAATTGGATAGCCATATGAACAAAAACGAATTTCAATATATTCCTTGCAACATATATAAAAATTAACTAAAAATAGATCAAATGTAAGCCTAAAACTGTAGAACTTCTGGAAGAAAACATTGGAGAAAATCTTTGAGTTTGGGCTGCTCAAGGATTTCTTGGATTCTTAAATACAAAGAGTACAGGGTTTCTTTTTGAGGGAGAATGTTCAGTAATTGATTGTGGTAATGGTTGCGTAACTGAATATACAAAAATCCATTGAGTTGTATGCTTTAAATGGGAGAATTGTGTGGTGAATTATATCTTGATAAAACTGTTGTTAAAAATATATATAAAAATATATATAAAAAAGTTAAACACACACCTACCGTCAGCCATTCCACTCCTAAGTATTTACTTGAGAGGATCGGCAGCATATGTCCATACAAAGCAAATGTTCATAGCAGCTTTATTTATTTATTTATTTTTTTTGAGGAAGATTAGCCCTGAGCTAACTACTGCCAATCCTCCTCTCTCTCTCTTTTTTTTTTGCTGAGGAAGGCTGGCCCCAAGCCAACATCCATGCCCATCTTCCTCCGCCTTATATGTGGGACGCCTACCACAGCATGGCTCCTGCCAAGCGGTGCCATGTCCACACCTGGGATGCAAACAAGTGAACCCCGGGCCGCCGAGAAGCAGAACGTGCACACTTAACCGCTGTGCCACTGGGCCGGCCCCAGCAGCTTTATTTTTAATAGCCAAAAACTGAAAACAACTCAAATGTCCATCAATCAGTAAATGGATAAACAAATTGTGGTACATCCATACAATGTAATAATACTTAGAAATAAAAAGGAATGGACTATTCAAACTCACTACAACATGGATGATCTCAAAATAATTAGACTGAATGAAAGAAGCCAGACCAAGAAAAAAGATACATATTGTAGATTTTATTTATGTAAAGTTCTAGAAAATGCAAACTAATCTGTAATGACAGAAAGCATATCAGTATTTTCCTGGAGATGGGAGAGGGTCGTATGGAGGAATGGGAGGGAGGACTTTTCAGTGAAGCAAAAGGAGACTCTTGGAGGTGATGGATGTGTTCATTAACTTGACTGTGGTGATTTTTCACAGGTGTGTATGTCAAAACATCAAATTTAGCACCTTAAACATAAAATTTATGTTAATTATACATTTTAAAACTTTTAAAAAGTCTTAATGGATATGGAGTCACTTACCATATAAAGTTTACATGAAATCTGTGTCAAATCCATGTTTTAGAAAGATCGTCTGAAAAGTATAGAAAATGGAATGGAGAACAGAGACACAGTTGGCTTGAGCAAACATATATTATGCTGGTTAATGAGTGTCAAAGGGCTCACAGACAAATGGAAGAGATAGATGTAAATAACAACTCGGTATAATAATGCTAATTATAACAGTGTATATGAGATAGCTCTGGCCTAGGTTGGAGGCAGTTAACAGAATCTTGAAGGGTGAATAAAGATTATAGTAGTCTAGGTGTGAAACGAAAAAAGCCTGAAGTAGATTGGTTGGGAGGGTGGAGTTGAAAAAAAATTCAGAAGAGCTTTTTAGTGGCAAAATCAAAAGTTTGGCTATGAAAGTATAAGACAGGTAAGAGCCAAAGATTTTTCTATTTAGAATGACTAAGTCTTTGATGATAAGAATAACAGAAATATAAGGAATTTAGAAGGAATAGACCAGGAGAAAAAAACAAGTTCAATCTTAGACTTGAGTTGGAAGTTCCCATGGCACGTTCAGTTGAAGATATTTTTCAAGTAGCTGAAAGTACAGTCTTGTCCCTTTGGAAAGAAGTCGGTTCTGAGAATATAGCTATTGGATTCATTTTTGGATAGAGACTGATCAAACTGTAGGAGCGAGTGGGCCTGTTCAGGAAGTATATAGTGTGAGGTAAGAAAGCCAATGATGAAACTTGAAGTGTCATCAGTGTTTAAGGGACAAGGACCAAGAAGCAGAGGAAGAGGCGCTGTGAGGACAGAGGATATCAGACTGTAGGAGGGAAATGTCTGAGAGAAGAAATGAAGCCAAAAGTCACCTATGTGTTTTCCAGTTGGAAAATAGTATTCAGAGAAGATTATATAGTTCTCTTAGAATTCAAGAAGACTGATTAGGAACAGAGAAAACGGAGTAAAAAAACCAAAACAAAGTAATGATTAACTATAGAAAAATAAAAGTTTACAAGAAAAGAAATGTAATTGGCAGAACACTGCATGACTCAGATGTGAAATATTTACATAGTCATAATAATATAAACATTGAATATAATTTAACCAAAAATTATGATATAGGAATTTTGGTAGAATAAGAGGATGCAATAAAAGAAAGTTAAATATTTATTTTCCATAACCAAAAACCAATAGATAATGTCTAGAATTGAAAAATTCAAGAAATAGCAGTATAAATACATTATTTAGAAATATAGAGGGGCTGGCCCTGTGGCGCAGTGGTTAAGTGTGGACATTCTGCTTCGGTGGCCCGGGGTTCACCAGTTCAGATCCCGGGTGCAGACATGGCACCACTTGGCACGCCATGCTGTGGTAGGCATCCCACATATAAAGTAGAGGAAGATGGGCACGGATGTTAGCTCAGGGCCAGTCTTCCTCAGCAAAAAGAGGAGGATTGGCAGCAGTTAGCTCAGGGCTATTCTTCCTCAAAAAAAAAAAGGAAAAATATAGAGAAGAAATAACTAAGAATGGAAAATTATATTTAGGAGTAGAAATCAGGGCCGTAGGAGCCATGGGGTCTTCCATCATAAGCCTGTATAATGCTATGTGTCTTTGTAAACTATTTTCATGTGTTCTTTTGGATAAAATTTAAAATTAAATTTTAAAAGACACCTTGTCAATCATCAGAGATAGCAACCTATTACTTTGTAGAAAGTGCCTTAGCTATTTTAGTTAGGCTTAATTCTGATAATGAAGCTACTATACAATAATCTGCATCTCTCTCCGTTGTAAATGTGTGACTTTCTAAGCACAGTTAACCTTTCTTTTCGTTTCCATAGGTTGATGAAAAAACCGTAGGAGAACCTGGTTGGCTTTATGGCAGTTTTCAAGGAAGTTTTGGCTGGTTTCCATGCAACTATGTAGAGAAAATGTCATCAAATGAAAAAGCTGTGTCTCCTAAGAAGGCCTTACTTCCTCCTACAGTATCTTTATCTGCTACCTCAACTACTACTGAGTATGTTTTTAGCTAACAATGGCGTTTATATAGCTCTGAACACATCTAAATACCTAGTATGTACTTGTGTCAATTTGCTACTTAATCATATTACAATCTGTACTGGATTCTCCAAGAGCCCTTTAAAATGTGTTCTAAATTTAATACTGAAGTTTAGTAAGTGAAAACATAGGTCAGTAGTTTGTCCATGAATTCTTTTTTTCCCACAAGTTGTGTTTAAACACGATGTATATTATGTACAAGTTGATAAAGTGGTGGTACTTCATTAGATTCTAAACAATTAAGTATACTTATATCAAACTGTTGTATTTACAGATCACTTTCTTCAAATCAACCAGCATCAGTGACTGATTATCAAAATGTATCTTTTTCAAATCTAACTGTTAATACATCATGGCAGAAAAAATCAGCTTTTACTCGCACTGTGTCCCCTGGATCTGTATCACCTATTCATGGACAGGTATGTGTCCTTAATTTTTGTGTGCTTTATTGTTTGACTGTGCTCCTGATTCATATAAAATAGAATGAAGAGTTTTGTACAAAGGCGTCATTCACTCATTTAACGAGAGTTTGTAGCATTTGGTTTCTGTTCTTATCATTCACATCTGATGTGAAGTTGAAGAAATTATTGCTTAAAGCTTTCTCAACAACAGTTTATTCTCACAGTGTCAGCTTGCCGGGAGCTAAGATTTCTAAGCTCAAAATATCATTTTTACAAATCCAATTGTATTATGCTTAATTTGTAGTTATTATAAGGAAAGATTTGGGCTTAAGGGTTTTTTGTTTTTGTTTTTCTTAAGTAAGTCATTTGTCTAGGAAGTGTGTTATATTTACTTAGCATCTGATTCAGATGTACACATTGTTACATTAACATTATTAAAAAGAAATCACATACTTCATCAGAATAAAGTCCTACAGATTTCACCTTCACTCAATATCCCTACAATTAAGAAGTCATAATCTATTGGAGACAAACATATAAATAAATAACTATAAAGTATGAGAAGTGTTGTAATAAAGATATTCTACAAAATCTTAAGGAGTATACAGAGGAGAGAATATCTCATTCAATCTGTGGGAATTGGAACAGGCTTCACAAAGGCCTAGTTATTTGAGTAGGACCTTTGAAGACAAGCAAGATTTCACCAAACAGAGAAGGAAAGGTATTCCTGTGAAAGAACAATTTGGGGAAAGTCACTGAGGCATGTTAACACAAGGAGTTTGCAAGAAACAAAAATTGTTTATAGTATGGCTAGAGTATAGGATTCTTGGAGATAAGGTTAAGAAGTGAAGATAGAGAGGAAGAGATTTATTTGCGAGGCGTTTAATACCATGCTAACCCATTTGGCAGTGGAAAGACACTGAAGATTTGAGAGAGAGATAACTGTGGCAGTAGTATGGAGGCCAGATTGGTGGAAGGAAGCAAAGGTAGGAGACCAAGTAAGGGAGGGTAATAAATAGCTAAGTAACGAGGGGTGATGTTGTGACCCAGTGCTGCAGTAATGAAAATATATAGAAGAGGAGGTGAATTTAAAAGAGTATTAGGAATAGACATAAAATTGGCAGGCCATTGGATGTGGAGTGTGAGGAACAAGTTGGAGTTAAAGATGACTCTTGAAAGCTTTTAGCTTGAGTAACTGAAAGGATGGTGATACCATTGTCTTGGGTTGGCAGTGCAGGAAGAGAGGGTTTGTTGGGTTCTAAAAATGATTATGTTTCAGACATGCACTTAGGTATCTGTGTGAGGGACAACCTGGTGGGAAGGCCTCGTAGGCAGTTTGATTTACAAGTCTGGAGCTCAGGAGGTAAAGTTAGACTGAAAATATAGATTTGAGAAGTCATAGGCATAAATGAGATTATCAAGGGAAATCAAGTGGAACAGAAATGGAAAGGGGCTGGACCACAGAGGAGTCATCAGTCACCAGAGAGTGAGCTTCAGGGACTACGAGGGTTTTAGTGATGTCAGCACTGTTCAGAGATCAGGGAAAGTAAGGGTTTGGAAGAAGCTTTTGGCTTTGAGGTTATCAGTGACCTTGTTAAGAAGAGGTTCAGTACTATCATGGGTGCAGAACCTAAATTAGACTGGATTGAGGGGTGAAATTGGAAAGCAGGTTTCAGACTATTCTTTCTTTAAGGAATTTAGAAGTAAGTAGACAAGCGGAGAGATTGGTGATTCAAGAGAAGGACTGCACAATGTTGCGAAGTATTTTTAGAAAATGGGAGGGCGTGGTAGAAGACTTAGAGCATAGGTAAAGAGGTTAGCCCTGTCAGCAAAACAAAACCACTCCTTCCTCTAAGAGAGGAGAGAAAGAAGAGTGAGCAAGAATACGAAGAAACTAAGAGACAGAAAGCGGGAAAGTGGAGGAAGCCAAGCACAACCGCATCTCCATTCTTAGCAGAGTAAACCGAGTCCCCTGCAGTGAAGAGACTGTAGAAACTGAGGTGGGAACAGGTTTACAGTAACTCTTTCCCTTTTTATTTGTTCCGTGATATATGCTTGATGGATTTATGAATACATGTCTTAAGTACCCACTGTTTACCTTCTATCCCTCTGATACTTTGTGCCAAGATGTTTCCTTGAATGGTAGGTGTTACATCTTTAACTTCACATAAGGCTACTCAGATGATTGTCTGTCACGTGTAATTTTAAGTCACTCAGTAGATTAAGGTTATCATAAGTTACCATTGATAATAACTCACCACCACACCAAACAGGTCTGCTGTTTGAGAAGTAAGTACATTATATACTAAGAAATAGAAATCATTGTTACCATTGTTTTTCTTTAAATTTTGTGGTTTTGTGTTCACAGGGACAAGTTGTAGAAAACCTAAAAGCACAGGCCCTTTGTTCCTGGACTGCAAAGAAAGATAACCACTTGAACTTCTCAAAACATGATATTATTACTGTCTTGGAGCAGCAAGAAAATTGGTGGTTTGGGGAGCTACGTGGAGGAAGAGGATGGTTTCCAAAATCTTACGTCAAAATCATCCCCGGGAGTGAAGTCAAGCGAGAAGAGTAAGCATTTTTGTGTGTTTGCATGAGGTGTCCATGTTGTCGTTTTTACTGAAGAGTCAGCCATAGTATGACTGACTGTACGAAAAATAAAAAGTTTACACTTGCATTTGAATATCAGAAAGGTAATTCCTAGAGTGAAAAAAGGCATATGTCAGGTATTTGTACCAGATTTAGAATGGCTTCTATTGTAGTTATTTCAGATTCCTAAAGTTTTCAAAGGGCGTAAATTTTTAGATCTGTTGCTTTGTTTGTACCATAAGGTCAGTTAGAGAAGTCACTTCCATTTCCTTTGGAGCGTTTCTCCTTTGTTGTTTACTATAAGTTGTCAATATTTAAATAAATCTTTATTGAGGGCCTCCCCTTTACCAGAGTGGGGCATTCCCATCTCTGGGCCTCCAGAGTTCTTTGAACAGCACCTCTCTTAGTGCCCACAACACCCTGCGTTGTAGTTATTTACTTTCTTACCCATACCCCTTATTAGAGCAGGAGCTCCAGGAGGGCGGGATCCACGCCTTTTTTTGTTTTTCAGTTTTTCCATGCCTGGGGTGATCTTGATGCATAGTACCTGCTCAGTCACATTAGCCCAGTGAATGAGGAGAGGAGTGGGGTGAATGAACGAACAATCAGATGAAGGAGCTTTCAGAATGACAGAAAGCAAACACAGGTCTCTGGCCTTTATTTCCCAGTCTGTAGGGGAGTCAGCTCATCAAACATCTTTAATACAAAGAAGTATACTCCAATATAGCTATGAGTAACTATCTCTTGTGTTTTATATAGAAGTTGATCTCAACAGAAAAACAGTCTGATTTAGTGAAAGGGGGCTGGTCTTTGGAAATCAAGAGGCTTGAATTCTGATGCTGCTGTTTTTGCCAGGCCGTGTGGAATAATCTATTTACTTGCTCTTCAGTTTTCTAATTGATTGAATGAAAAGAATAAACTAAATAATCTTTAAAAATCTTTTCAGTGCTGAGATTCTGTGTATCAATTTTTAGTTCAAATGCAGAAATTTCCTTTTCAGACTGCCATGGAATTTTAGATTTAGAGGTGTGTAATAATAACAGTAACATCAATAATACATAACTGACGTGTTTTGCTAGCATTGTGCTGGGCCCTTTATAGGAATTATCTTATTTAAACTCCATAACATTTTACAAAGAAAACTTAAGGACGAAGACATGAAGTTTAAATGCTTTTTAAAGGGCATTTCTTCTAACTTTTCAGTCAGTTACTCATCTTTTCTAACAGATAAGGCATGTAACTTGAAAACCTGCAGTAATGGAGAATTCAGCACTACACAAGGCAGTGCGTTCAGTTATGGCCATGGGTCGTAGGAAGGTTCCACTCTGTTTCCCTGAAAACTTCCTCACTGTGTAATTAACTCACTGTTCCTGGGGAGCTCTAGGGCATCCTATGGGTGTCGAGTTCTTAAACACGATAGTTTTCCAGATTTTTGAAAACAACTTCCTGGGTTAAATTGGAAATTAAAGCTATACCTGTTCTGAAATATAAAAATAAAGTTCTATTTATATAGTATATTTTTTAGTGTAGTGTGCTCTAAACAAATAATAAAATTTATATATTGCCCTTGTTTTTCTCTATACCATATGTGCTTTACCAGGTAATTGCCCATTTACAATATACTTGTGTCTTAAATTTCCTTAGAAAGGCAAACTATCTCACATTTGCAAAACTACTTACAAATCATATTGAAATTACTTTAATATATTAAAAAATTTAGAAATGTATAATTAGGCAGTTCTTAATCCACCAGGATTTTGTGTATGAGACTATTTCTAGCCTGTGTCTGAAACAATGTTTAGATTAATTTTAGAAAGCCCTACAAGAATGCACTGCTAAAACTTGCTGTATTCAAATCACCTTTATTGTTTTTTTACGTTGTTGTCTTTTTTTGTTTTGTTGTTTTTTATCTTTTTGTGTGTTTATTTGGCAGACCAGAAGCTTTGTATGCAGCTGTAAACAAGAAACCTACCTCCACAGCCTATACGGTTGGAGAAGGTGAGCTTTTGGCAATTTGTAAATGAGATGGGAGTGCGTTTTGCTCCTGGCTAATTATCTGACTTCCTACAGTTGTTGTTATTCTCCCTGCTTCTGTGTCTTCGGTGTTAAAGTGATGTTAGGAAAACCTGACCCTTGTCTATTTCACGTGAATGTTGAGGATACAGAAAAAAATATGGCTGAAAATACTTGGTAGTTTTAGAAAATTAGTACTATAAAAATTCAGCATAGACTGCCTCGATAAATAAGATCATAAGTAAAAAGTGTTGCAATGAGATAACACAAATATTTTTGTTTTCCTGTTATTATGTGTCTAGATTATTGAAATTTAGGATGTAAGGAAATTTCAGTACATTTAGTGGCTAACGTATTGCATTTTGATTACTGTATACCTTATAAATCATTAAGTAGCATTTGAAATCAGGATACGTGTTATCATAAATATTACAAAGAAAAAAATTGTGTAGCCCTTTGGGTTGTTTGACTAATTATTTCAATTTTGTTAATGTGCTGAAAAATGAAAGATTGTCTACCCTCATTTCAGACATTTTAATTTAATAGTTACATAAGTTTATAAATGAATTGTATATGTCCACTGTAAAATTAGTTGAATAGTTGAAGTACATTTCGTGTACTCAAGAAAATCAGTTTAATGGTAAATTAAACAGTTTTTTCAGTATCTACTATATTAGAAATTCTATGCTAGAGCCTGAAAGATGCAAAGATGAATAAAACACAGTCTCCCAAGTGCTCACAGTAGAATGGAAAGGATAGACATACAATTGTAATAAATTCTATAATGAGGGAACAAAACTTAATTTTGAGTAGGACCTGGGAATCCACGTAAGTGGCAATGTTAAATCCTCTTAAACAATGAATAGAGTCTTGCATAGTGACAAAGGAAGAGAAAAGCTCTTGTAGACAGAGGAAATGGCATGAGCCAAGGCACAGCTTTGAAAGGTTAAGGAACTTGAGGTCACCAGTGAGGCTGGCATCGTAGGTTTACTGTGGATTGACTGCTGTGAATGAGCTAGGAAGGTAGCGAGAGCATTTTGGAAAGGACCTTGCTTGCATATCTAAACCTTGAAATCATTTTTTGTTTTGTTAAATCAGCTAAACTGAGTAATATTGAGAATGGGAATATTTAGTAGGTCATAGATAGTGTTTCTGGTAATCTCCAGTTTATGATATACAGATCAAATTCTGTGTTGACGAATATAAATAAAACTAGAAAAGAAAGAAAAAAACTTCTATAAACCTGGTCATTGACTGTTTCTTCTAAGTTGTAGTAGTCACAGGAACAAAAACCAAAGCCAGTATAAAACTCAGACATTTCTTTTGAGGTCATTCATTAAGAAATATTTATCGAGCATCTGCTCCATGCAAGCACTGTGCTAGGAGCTGGGTCACCATGTTGGAACTTGGCCTCTCCTACTCGTGTTGGCTGAATGTTGGGCGTTTCCATAACTGTGTATATAAAAGAATTAAAGAGAAAAGAATTTAGCAGATTAAAATATATTTTGTGTAAGAAGTTTAAAAATTTTTTTTCACATCTTGACTCTCTGAAGATATTGATACCTGTTCATAGTTTTTGGGTTTGATATTTCTTTGATATCATGATAATAATAATATAATAATAGAACAATTAGAAAATAAAAGAAACCCCATGATCAAACTTTCTGTTGAATAATCTTTTCCTAGGAATTACATAATTGCTTAATTTCTTTTTCTGTCTTAAGATCTTATTATAGAATTCCTTAATTTAATGAATTCTTTTTACAGTGAATTTACACAAGATCTTGGCGATTAACATAATTTTTTTTTTACTTTTGTAATCTTACAACCACAGTTAGTTTCTTTCTGCTTTGTTCTCTACAGAGTATATTGCACTTTATCCATATTCAAGTGTAGAACCTGGAGATTTGACTTTCGCTGAAGGTGAAGAAATATTGGTGACCCAGAAAGAGGGAGAATGGTGGACAGGAAGTATTGGAGATAGAACTGGAATTTTTCCATCAAATTATGTCAAAGCAAAGGATCAAGAGGTAGAGTTATTTTTGTATAGAAACAGAATCATTCCATTCTTGTTGATCAAGATTCATACTTAAAACAGACACTCATGTCTGTGGTTTTGGTCAGGCTGCTTTGGTTACAGGGAAACCACTTAAGGTAGCTCCAGAAAACTAGAGTTTATTATAGGGATTCTGTTAGAGAGAGAAGTGAGACAGGATTTCATGAAATTCTGAGAATGAGAGCCATAGGTAGGGCTGGGCCTCATGATAACTGAAGCTAGGGTAATGTTTCCGGATTCAGGGAGGCTTACAAGGGACCGCCTTGAAAAGAGTCTGTAAATCTTTACTTTAAGGCTCTGACATTAATGTGACTCAGCTTACACTCTGAATTCTTGCTGTTTTTTATCCCACCATGATTATGGTATAGTGCAACAGTTCTCAAACTTTTTGGTTTCAGGAACTTTTTACTTTCTTAAAAATTATTAGGGACTCCAAAGAGTTTTTAAAAATGTATGGGTTATATCTAGTTATTTTTCTATATTAGAAATTAAAACTGAAATTTAAATGATATTTATTAATTGATTTTAAACTAAAATAAACCCATTACCTGGTAATGTAAATAACTTGCTTTTTATGAAAAACAGCTATATATTTTCCAAAAGAAAAGTTTAGTGAAAAGAGTGGCATTGTTTTATATTTTTGCAAATCCCTTTAAAGTCTGGATTAATGGAAGATAGCTAGATTTTCATATCTGTTTCTGTGTTCGCTCTGTTGTAATATGTTCTTTTGGTTGAAGTATATGAAGAAAATTCAACCTCACACAGATATGGGAGAGAACAGAGAAGTATTTTATAACATTTGCAGGTATCTTCTCTGGATGTTCTTCTTTGATAGTACTACACCAAAACTTGACAAATGTTAGGGGGCCGGCCCAGTGGCACAGAGGTTAAGTGCACATGTTCCACTTCGGCAGCCTGGGGTTTGCTAGTTCAGATCCTGGGTGCAGACATGGCACCTCTTGGCAAGCCATGCTGTTGCAGGGCGTCCCACATATAAAGTAGAGGAAGATGGGCACAGATGTTAGCTCAGGGCAGTCTTCCTCAGCAAAAAGAGGAGGATTGGCAGCAGATGTTAGCTCAGGGCTAATCTTCCTCAAAAAAACAAAAAAACTTGACAAGTGTTAAATTGTTATAGATTAGTTACAACATGGAGTCTGAAGCCATATCAGTGAGTATTTCTTACTATGATTATTAAAATTCACGAGGCTGTTTTGCATGTTGAGTGGATCTTTTACCCGTGTGTGATAAAACATTCATGGGTCACTTGGAAAACACTGAATCACTGATTTACACAAATATTGCCTGTGTTGACACATTTTGTTATACAATATCAAAAAGTCGTTCTGTTAATATCACCACTGATCTCATAGAAAAGTCTTAAGTGCTTTGAAGCAGTCAAGTTCATGGTGGTAGATACAAGTTTTCCAAAATTTTAACTTTCTCTTGAAAGCTTGAATTTTACCATTGGCAGCACATCTCATCAGCTGTTTTCTTTGAAGTGACAGGCTTACTTCATTTTTCTTTAAGAAAAATGTCTGCTAAATCCCAAGTCTGAAGAGTTTGTCATTTCATTCATTCTTTTAAGTAAAATTGTTGTTCCATTGAAAACGTAGTTTAGCTTACATTTAAATCACACAAGTGCTTTTCCTTGAGACCACCTTTGTGCTTTAGTATGCAGCAGAAACGCTTTAGGCACGCTTCCGTTTAGACACACAGAATTTTTTAAAGATGTGTACCTGAGGATTAAGATTTAATAAAATTTTTACTGCTTGATCAAGGACATTCTTAGGTAGAACTGGCTTAGTTTGTGTTACTGTGAGCATGTGGCTGTGAAGAACACTGTGACTACTAGTTTAATTTGACACCACTGCTGTGATTTGTGCTAAGGCAGCAGGAGTTTTACCCACCAGTGTAAATGTCAACACAGTGAAAGACGCAAATAATGTCTAGTGTTGTTATGGAAGTAGTTTTTATCTTCAGGACCCCTGAAAAGGGCTTAAGGACTACCCCGGGGATCCACAAACCACACTTGAGAACCCTTGAGACCACCTGGGTTGACTCCTGGCTCTACCACTGAGAGGCTGGGTGACCTTGGACAAGATACTTTACCTTTCTGTACCTCAGTTTCCTTCTCTGCAAAATGGAGATAATCATAATTACTTAATAGTGTTATTGTGAAAATTAAATATTTGAATATATATAAAATTCCTAGAACAGAGCCTCTTACGCAGTAAGTACTCACAGTATGTTAGCTCTTGGCTACTCTTAACTCTGCTTCAGTACTTTTTACTACAGCTGTGTCCACTCACAGAAAAAAATTTTAACCCCTTCTCTTTTCTTGTTCAAATTCCTGAAAAGAGGAAATGTGGTTGGCCAAACTTATCCTGTAAGTCAAACAGAAGTCATAGTGGCTACCCAGGTATGGGTGTTTTTGTTCTGAGGTCAGTTCAGAGGGAACATGGCAAAAAAAGTAAAAATAAAAACATTGCCTTCTCTGCAGCTGGAGCGAAACTCACAGGGCGCGTGTGTTGTATGTGGTGGGCATTGATGCTAAACCTGATAAATAGGATGTATTTGGCCTGTACTCTTCATACTATTACTTACAACATCAGTTCAACTCTGCTGCATCCACTGACTTTAATATTCAGGAAAGTTTCGGAAAACTAGCTGTTACTATTGAGTCCGTGTATGCCAGCATCAGCCACTTGTATATAGTGTATTCTGTTAGCAGGCCAGATCTCCCCATAAGTGTTTGATTCTTAACTTATTTGGTTATTATAAGGCTAATTGTCGTTTTGATCTTCATTTAAAGAAACAGGAATCCTGGAAATTAGAAATCTCTAATTCCTAATAACCTTTTACTTTTACATCTGGATTGTTGGAATATGATAAAACAGTCTATCTTTTCCTTACAGAGTTTTGGGAGTGCTAGCAAATCTGGAACATCAAGTAAAAAACCTGGTATGTATAATAATGAAGTTGAAAAATTACAAAGTGTTTACTAGACTTGAATTCATAGTTGGTTGTTTTTCTTCTTTTCAGAGATTGCACAAGTAACTTCAGCATATGTGGCTTCTGGTTCTGAACAACTTAGCCTTGCACCAGGGCAGTTAATATTAATTCTAAAGAAAAATACAAGTGGGTGGTGGCAAGGGGAGTTACAGGTAATAATCTTTAAATAACATTTATCAATTTTATTATGAAAGTAATGCATGCTCATTTAATAATAAAATTAATAAAAATTTTAGATCACCTGTAATCATACCACTTAGAGGTAATCAGTATTAACATTTTAGTGTATTATATTTCTCTCTAGTCTTTTCCCTGTTTATTTTTAGCAGAATTGAATTGATGTTATAGGTAACAATATGAAGAATAATTTTCTCTAAAGACATAATTGTTTTCCAATAATACCTGCTTTAATAAATTACAGGTCACCTTCTTAAAGGAAAGCATGGCATCCTCTTTGTCTGGGATAACCCCAGGTTTGCAGTATAGCCTCTAGGAGAAAAAACATGATCCAGGCTGTGTACTGAGAAAATATTACCCATTGGACAGGGCCCCCGGTCTTATGTTTTTGAAACAGCAGTGCACGAAAAGGAAGTGCAGGAGTAAATGACCTGGTTTTTTCCTTAAAATGTTAAGAGAGATAGTTATTGCATATGTATTGGTAAGGAAAGAGAGTTCTTTCCTCACGCCTAAAATTTCCTTACTAGTTAAAACTAAAAAGCATTTTAGGATTAAAGGATGATAAGAGATGTAAGAGCTGTATTTTTACATAAGATTGATGTATGATTGTAATACGGAGAATAAACACAGCTTCACTCTTGCAAATCAGAGTCTTATAATTCCTAAAGAACAGTGGAGGTTCAAAATTCACTATCTTCTTGAATAACCCCATGAAATTCCACCTTCTGGTTTGCTTTGAAAATTGACCCAACTAAGTGGGAACATGGCTCTCCACTAGTTTTATTTATGATCTCTTGATTAATTATTAACAAAGCTCCAAGAGGTATTTACTGTGGGCTATACCATTTTAAGTGTTGACTTGAACACTTAAATGAGGAGAACTCTAGAAAAGTCTTTTTGATTTATAAATATTATTTGTGTGAAATATGCAGATAATTCTGAGCATGAAAGACCTCCAAATAGACTTCTACAAATAGTGTTTTCAGCAGCACTTTGAGATGCATATTGAGTTTTCCACTTGTTTAATATTGACCTGGAAGGCCAATGCAGAATTCAGGGGTCCCAAGACCACCCTCACTTCTGACATCAATTGTAAGTTTGGAGGCCCCCAAGATAACTCTCAAGTTCAGTAATTCACTAGATGGACTCACAGGACTCACTGAAAGCTGTTGTACTCAATATTATGATTTATTATGTCAGAAGGATTTAGATTAAAATTATCCAAAGGAAGGAATGTATGGGGCAGAATTTAGGAGGGTTTCAAACACAGCTTCCAATTGTCCTCTCCCAGTAGAGTCATAGATGGCATTCAGGCCTCCTGGCAGCAGTGTACACGGAGTGTTGCCAAGCAAAAGAAGCTCCCTCGAGCCTTTTTGTCCAGAGTGTTTATTGGGGCTCCATCACATAGACATGGTTGAGCACCAGACCCAGTCTCCTGTCCCTCCAGAGGTGGAGTTCATATTAATGTGACCCAGAAGACCTACCATAAATCACATTGTTTAGATTGTCTGGCTTGGTTATGGCCCCCCACATAAACTGAGACACTCTTGCCAGTCAGGACATTCCAAAGGGTTAGGGATAACCTCCCAGGAGCCAAAGGCAAAGGCCAGACCTCTCTTTGGGCAAGGTTAAATTCCTTACTACACAGTCAGGGTTTTCTCATTTTTAGTTTATGTCTCAATAATTGCTTTTAATCTTATCTTTCATATTCCTTTTGCTAATTTCATAGGCCAGAGGTAAAAAGCGACAGAAGGGATGGTTTCCTGCCAGCCATGTTAAACTTTTGGGTCCAAGTAGTGAAAGAACTACACCTGCCTTTCATCCAGGTATGAAGCAGATTAACTCGTATTTCATCTTAGAGAAGTTTTGTTAAAACTCAGCAACTTCTTAGATTAGCCAACTCTTTGAAAAATATTAAAAATTCGTCCTTTCCTTACCTCTGACTAAAAGTAACATTACAATGAGAACTTTCTTAAAAAGTTCTGTATGCAAACAGCCAGCTGTTTGGTGATACTTGAACCACTTCACTCCTTGAAATTTTTCAAAACAGAATTGCTATACCATCGTACTTACTTAAAGCAAAGTGCTTCACTTGGATTTTTAACTGTAGTTAGGAAATTCTTGGTTTTTGTACAGCCAATAGGGGAAGGAAGGTGGGAGAGAGCAGCTTAAGGGAAATTTTAGCCTAATTTTAACATTTAATATTAGAGTAATTTAAATCCTAGGGGAATTTTAACATGTGATCCTTATAGGAATAATTAATTTCTTTAATTTGTTATTTTGTTGTTCTTTTTCCGGCAGTGTGTCAGGTGATCGCTATGTATGACTACACAGCGAATAATGAGGATGAGCTAAACTTCTCCAAGGGACAACTTATTAATGTTTTGAACAAAGATGATCCTGACTGGTGGCAAGGAGAAATCAGTGGGCTGACTGGTCTCTTTCCTTCAAACTATGTTAAGATGACAACAGACTCAGATCCAAGTCAACAGTGTGAGTAATATCAAACTATTTCTCTCTCAACTAATACAGAAGCTTTAATATGCATTCATTACTGTTCTGGATCAGATCTTAAACTCAGCTTTCTTAGCAAATGTTATGTTAATGTTTAAAGTAAGAAAAAACAAAAGGAAACCGTTTGCAAGATCAACAGTTATACTGCTTTATTTTAAATATTTTTTTCCTAGCTTCAGACCTTACTATTAGACTTTATCTGAAAAAGTTTCTAATTCTTTTTTGGGTTCTTTGGTATGACAGCAGTCAATACTGCAACTTCCCTTTTCCACCATCCTTTTTCAACATCCAGTGATCTTTTTCAGCTTAATAAAGAGTAGCTAGTAATTACCCTATTCACCTATTCAAAATTACCCTTTTAGTGTACAGATGCTGTTCATTTTGCAATCTTCTCATTTATTTCCCACATATTTACACATCATCCAGGTTAGAAGAAAACTAAAAACCTATTTAAATTGTTTTTTTACAAAACTCTCATTACATGATTTTTTTAGATCTATCTATCTAAAAAATCATGCCACAAGACATATATGAATCAGGATCTATTTTGCTATTTTTATTTTTTAATTTTTTTAATTTTATTTATTTATTTTTTCCTTTTTCTCCCCAAAGCCCCCCGGTACATAGTTGTATATTCTTCGTTGTGGGTCCTTCTAGTTGTGGCATGTGGGATGCCGCCTCAGCGTGGTTTGATGAGCAGTGCCACGTCCGTGCCCAGAATTCGAACCGACGAAACACTGGGCCGCCTGCAGTGGAGTGCACGAACTTAACCACTCGGCCACGGGGCCAGGCCCCTATTTTACTATTTTTAGAACAAGGGTCCACATCTCAAAGTGTGAAATTTGGTATTACATAAAATTATGGTAGTTACCTAGCCTTTCTTATATTTGACAATAAACATGCATTAATAATAAATTAGAGTATAAACAATACTTGGAAATATGTTTTACATTGATAAAATAGATGTCACTTTTCACACCCTTTTGATTTTTTGGGGGTTTTTTTTTTACAAAATACATCATGATATGATTTGTATTTCTATCATTCTTGTGAAATTATCTAAAAGATTTAACCTTTCATTTTAATTTGGTTTCTAGTAAGTAACCCAGTCAAAGCTGAGCTGTACTTATGCTTCAGTAGCAAGTATTATGAATTTATTTTATACTATACAATTTTGAAATATTGTATCATTTTCACTTTAGAGCTTATAAGGAGTTCTGCTCCTGGGAGAAGTCTTTCCTTTAGACAAAGCAAACTGAATTTTTCAGTCTGGAGGTGGGAGGAATCCAGTTTTTGATGGTTTGAATATTCCCAAAAATATCTAAGGGTTTCGGGAGTGGTAAAGAAAATTATAACTACTTAGGACACCTAAATGAATGACCATTTTTAAGCCCTGCTCATGGCTTGGCAGTTTTCAGTGCTTGCCAGTTGATCTGATTAATCAGAAATACCTGGGGTGCCTTTCCTGGACTTGAGAAAGGAAGACAGTCTTCGGACCTGCTGAGTCTGGAAAATCTTTGTCTAGTGATCCTTGGAGATATTCCAGTGTGTCACTGCATTAGCTTTTTTAGAACCTATAATATAAAGGGATGGTTTTCAAATGTTTTGTTGTTTATCTTGTTTTCCAGTGGTGAAACAGTTTTTTCCAGTTAAGTTTTATATAACTAAGAATACAAAGAACAGATAAAAGCATTCTGAAAGAAGAAACATCTTCTTTTAGAGGAGTGTATGAGTCAGTGAAAACTGGGTATATTTTAGATTACCATTTGTGTTTCTTGGGCTCTTATAAGTAATATTTTCATTCTATTATGTAATTAGGATTTTTTTTAAAGGTTGAGAATTTTAATAGTTCAAATTTGTGTAGTTGATGTTGCATGTTATTAGTCGAATTTTTTCTCACCCACTTAATTTGCTTTATGTTTATTTTATTCCTCATTTTTCTTTTTATAGGACCCAATGTTGTCTTCCAGTGTGAAAGCACCCCAGAGACCCACTATCCAAGTTTGACTCTAGCGTGGAGGCAGGGCAGGCAGCCCTGATCAAATATCTCCTACACAATTCATTAACTTCGTTTGAATGTTAGAGCCACTTGTGATTATTTCTTTGTGTTTCTAATTTACAGTTAAAATTTATTTGTAACAAGTTAAAGGATAGTGGGTCTTTGTGTGGCTTTCCCTGCTGTTCACTCTGGCATCCTTTAGCATTTTTCTTTTTTAATTTGGTAATTGTAGGTCATTAGCATGCATACTGAGTTTGCCCTTACATGGTGGGAGTTCCAACACACAAAGACCCACTATTTGCACAGGCTATTCTCGCTGGTTTGGAATGGGCTGCTTTGCTTTTCTAATGTTACTGCAACATGTATATTCATTGCAGAATTCAGATAAAGTTTGCTTATGTTTTGCTATTATGTTTGATCTAATCCTAATCACAGTGAGCTCTTCATTGATTCAATATGTGATTTGCCCCCAAATATGTACTGTTTACTCGATTACTTTTTCTAATATGCCACTTTGAGAACCAATATTTAAATTTGTTTAAAGACCAAGAACTGGAAATAACCATTTCTCTATTTTTGTGTATTTTGGGGTGGGAGCAATAACCCTTTCGGGGAGCTTGTCTTCTCTCATAGAAGAGGAAAGTGATGCCCCAGCAGTATGTGCGGAGTGGGATATGTTTCATCTGTTTCAGCTGCCCAGGAGTGAGCACTGCGCTGTGGTAGTTCCCTTAGGCTCTGTGTGCTCTGGGCTAAGGAGGAGACCACGTCAGGTGTGGCCGCAGTTCGTTGTTACTTCTGTATTGATGACCTGAAAATGAGTTATTTTCAATAAATGAAAGGCTCCCGTTGTTGACCATGAAATATGAAACCTTCCCTAGCTTAGACAGAGAATTTATATCTACATTTTAAAGTCAAAATTCATGTTACCTTTTTTTAATTAGGTGACTACATGTCCCAGGTCATGAAAGAACACCAGTTGACATTCTTTTTAATGCGTTTAGTAAAGATAGTAGGGACTCTTGAAGCATTTAAATGCCCCTGAAGCAGGCATATAGGCTCTATCTAGTCAAGAATGAATTCAAGTGAAGGCAAGGTGTGTGAGAGCTGGCATCCCTCTGTGTCCATGAGGCTTCTTTGAGGCTGCAAGATTGATTTTGCCATCCAGAATTCTCTGGCTAATATCTCTTCTTCAACCACATTGGCTACTTTGGCATAGGATTTTACTTCTTTTCGTTGAATAGAAAACATTTTAAAGATAACTAACAGTATTATAAACTAATATATGTGAGAGTACTTAGCTGAGACAAAAAAGAGTTTTAGTAGACAGTATGTAACTATATTGTCATCAATCAATGAGAAGTTTATGCAATTTAAAATGTTTACAAACTGCAGTGCAGTCTACTGTTCACGAATGTCAAAGTATTATCAGGACAAGTGTACATACAATCACAGGGTCTTATTTCCTCAGAGAGTTCTTTAAGAAGAGTGAAATCTGTTTTCATATCTGTGAGTTTAAGTTAGAGGCATATTTTGTGCAATATTTATGTTAGTGTGCCTATACATTATGAATGAATGATATCAGTTATCCATTGCCTAAATCATAACTTTACGACGCTTGAGAAAGAATCCACAGTTTAGTTAGAACTTCACAAAGTTCAAATGTCTGTGTTCCAGAATACTTCACACTATTGCGATGTATGGTGATACGTATGTGTGCTGCCTGGGGCGGGATTTCTAGTTTTAGACCACCTCAGTTTTTAGCATTTGGCATCATCATGGTACTTTTATAAAATGTGTCATTAGTAGGAAAGCAATAATATCTTTACAGGTGGCATAACAGATTTGCCTGCGGTCTCTAAAGGAGACTGTGCAAAGATTGAGTCCTTGTGAATTCAACTGACCTTCCAAATTGTACGGATTACTTGGTCTTGCCTTTTATCTTCCGAACTTTCTACTTTTACACCCTTTAGTTGAGTTTAGATTAAGGATAGTTACTTTAAATCCATTTTAAACCTTTAGGTTAGAAATCAGACCATGGCTAATTAGCCATATGATTTGCTATAACATTTTCTCTTTATAATTTTTAGTTTGGGCTTATCTAATAATACTGATAAATTATTTCAAAGGTATTTTTATAGCTCAAATCACTTCACTTTTACACTGATAAATATAGATTATTAAGAATGACATTCAGGTAGAGCTTAGCATCTGTAATCAATTTGAAAATAATTATTCATCGGGTACCTATGGACTAAATCACATAATGGCACATTTAAGCTTAATGTTGGTCTGGAAAATAAATTTACTGGGTTTACTGAAATACCACTCTTTGTGTGGGTGTTTCGTCATATATTTGAGAGAAGGCTAAAAGTAAAGGAAATTGTATGACATAAGATAATAACCTAAGTCCTTACAAGTGCATGCCATCCTTTGCAGTACCTCATATTCAGCCACGTACTTGCTCTCTTCCTCATTCAGTATGAGAGGCAGCTGTCACTTTGCTTAGAAAGCAAACATTACAAGGAAAGAGTTTGTCGCAAACATAGAATTTTTAAATGGGAGCACAACTGAATAAATCTGAACCCTGTAGGAGCTAAAGAATCAAAATATCTGTTTCTTTAAAGATTGCAATCTGTGATAATCATTTTTAATTATGTGATTAAACCTGATGGGTTTTCCAGTATTGAAAAAAATCCGTTCTAAAACCAAAGCTGATCTTTTAGAAAATTAGAAAATTTAAATCAACCTTACCTGTTATATAGTTTCCTCTAAAACTTTATCTTAAAGAATCATTTTAAAATAATACTATTTAAAAAATGTAACTGCTATTTTAAAATATAATATGAATACTGATAGTTTAAAATAAAGAAACTGGGGGAAGGAAAAGTAGAGAAGAAATGCCAATTCCAGTCCAAAGCTTTATTTGCCAAGTTTTCTTAGAATAAATTTTACCAAGTTATAAATTCTTGTAAATAGAATC